AATTTTCTATTTGCAATACATGCGCTTTATTATGGTGAGCTTGGGCTACATATGTCTACTTTCCGGATCAGCGTCCCATGTAGAATTCTCATGTGAACAATTGGGCATAAATTGCAATACTTTATGAGGAAAATAACTAAAGAATTGTATGAAACGATGTAGTGTAGGGTACTTTTTACTCGATTTGCCTCACTATATCCTCTTTCTGTTTTAATTTATTTCCTAATGTAAGCACAAATCGCAAAACAATCCAAAATAAAATGATCTATGAAAATCAATTTACAATCAAAGGCAATTTATTTCCAATCGCCTGGGTACGTGTGAAGGCAGAACAGAGTAAAATGCATTTATCATCATTATTATTGATTGATAAAATGATCAATGGACACCAAAGCTGCGTTTAATATTTATAATTCCAGCTCAGGAGTTTCGAGTTTTCGTGACATCTTTTGGGTTAACCAAAAACCAATCTCCACAAGCTCCAATCTATCTCACGTAAGCTTGTTCATCTTTATTTGGACAATTCTAGAGAATCAATCAATTATTAGAGAGCATTCAAGCTTTCCTAATTTCTAAAGCAAAGATCTTTAGAGAGGCAGAAGAGAGAGCTTTACAAGAACTTGCAAGCATTCACTTTACACCTTTTTTTAATTCTTATAGGATAGTAGGAGCTTAGATTAGTGAGAACCGAACAAATGCATACAAGCTTTGAAATTTTCATAGCAAAAACCTTTTTCCGATTTGTAGAAAGTTATGATATGATTCAGATACAAAGTTACTAAAATTCAAAACAAGCAAACGTCTTCACAACCAAGTTGAATCTAACGGTTACTGCGGCTACCATAATTGTCTCTTGCTTTTTTTTCAAATTAAGATTTAAGAGTCGTTTTGCGATCAGCATAGGCGTGAGACTTATGAAAAGTCGAACGACCAAGGAAAATAAATAAGCATCTTAAAGGCTACCGGGGAAGGATCGTAATATTTTAACATCACTCTATTGAAACTTAAATGCAAAAACGAATGAGAAAGGACCTGATTGCACTTACATTGTAGAGCCAAACCCGCATTAGAGAAAATGGAAATTTTCTTGCAGGAATACAGACCTCCATGCTAGCTGCATTTCAGCTCC